ACCCAAGCATTCCGAGCCCGCTGGTGCCCCGAGAGTAAGGACCTCCAGCCTCCAGCTCGTCCCTGCGGTGCCATATGGCGGGGCCTCTCGGCCTCGCCGACGTCGTTGGAGGGTGGAAGAGATGCGGGCGAACCGCAGTACGGTATCGAAGATGTGGCGTCGCCAGGGGACGACAAAAGCGGCGGCGGCCGCCCCTCCCCCAGGCGACTCCTGTCCTTGAGCGAAGCACTACGGACTTGAAGCGCACCGCTCCTGAACCAAGCGCGGGCAGCGGTAGACTGGGCTAAACCCTGTGACGAGGAGGGGCAAACAGCCAGCGCCTCCTCGTCCAGACAAGGAGGAGGGCCGCCGTGGACAGGAGCCCACCTCAGCCCTCAGACAAATCCTCGGCCGAGAGCTCTCGCCGCTGCCGCAGTGCAGACCGCGCCGCAGCGGCGGCGGGGGCCCGATGGGCGAGGGCCCCGCCCCGCGAGGATCTCATCCCTGACAACCTTTTGGCCAGGGGACGGGGCTCCCGCAGGGCCTGAGCAACGTGCGCCACGACGGCGCCTCAATCAGGCAGTGAGCCCAGCACTTCCTGCAGATCGAATGCCGACCCTCCGCCTGGACCACGTGGTCCTCGTGCAGGAAGGACTGAGGCAGTGGCGGGGGCTCGCCTTGCTCAGACTCAAAACGAAGGCAGCCCAGGCCAGTCGCACGGCCGCGCTGCGCGCCCGCCCCGGGGCGCCATTGCGCCTGGCCGCGCGCGCTGCCGAGAGGCACAAACGCAGGGCAGTGGGCTCACGCCTGGCACCTGGCTGCCCCCGGCGCGCGCGGGACTTCGGCGCGCGCGCTGAAGCGCGGCGCCACAAACAACGAACCCCACCCTCTTGGACCTCCTCGAGGTCGTGGGACAGCAGAACCAGCGTCGGCATCGCGGAACCTGTCCGAACTGGCGGGCTTTCCGGCACCGCGGAGGCCGAGGTCACAATATGGGCCGCCCTAGCCAAAAACATCAAAAGAGCGGCGCACGTCTTTTGGCCTGCAACGAAAGTGTCTACCACTAGACCAGCATGCTGGATCTCCCCAGCTCCGACCTTCGCGAAGAAGTCAGCCCGCGTGTTCCCAGGGTAACCGAACACAGTGGGCACCTCCACGCCTTTTGGGAACACATGGGCCTGCAAGAGCTCATTTAAATTGCCGTGAGCGGGCGCCCGCTGGAAAGAGGGCCTCTCTGGTCTCTTCCCTCGTAGAGCTGGAAAACCTGCCTCCAAATGCTGGCATGCTTGCTAGCACCTCTACACAACTCGGGGCACCAGCTGGCGCCATCCATGACGGCGGGCCGGTGGTCCGAAACAACAATGGCCTCCCAAGGCCCAGCTTTCAAAGCTTCCAAAATCGCCTGGCGCTCCGCCCTCGGCACCGTCTGGCACAGTCCTCACAGGGGGCCAAAACGGGCGCGGATCGGAAAACCTTGCGCAGTCAGCTCGGGTACTGACCAGCCACATCTAGTAAGCTCAGGGATTCCATTAGTTTGGCCGCTGCCGCCTGCATACAGCCTCGGCCCCCAAGGAAAATCACAAGCACCCCGGGCCCTGACGGGAACGGCCCTAGGAACGGGCTCGACGCAGATAGGACAGAGGGGGGGCCCATAGGCCAGCCCGACGGTGTCAGCCTCGGGCGGCAGACCTCAAACCGAATCGACCATCTTCTGCCGCTGCCCCCGCGCATCGCTGGGGAGTGGATGCGCAGCATCGGGATCCTCGGCACCTTGCTGCCACACCTTAGCGCAGTCGAAATACTGGTGTCCGAGCGCGCCCTCGGCCTCGCCACAGAACTGACATGTCAAACTGCTGGGAGATCCCGCCGCGACCTTTCGCGCTGGGGGCCGCGGCCCATCCCCTAGAGGGCGCCTCAAGGTTGCCTCGCGCACAGGATCTCGGACCGAGCACACTCCCAAACGATGCGCTCGACCCCGAACATTCTTGGATCCGCGCGCCTCGGGGGTGGCAGAGAGCAGCTGCGCCGTTCGGGCTCGATTGATGCCCTCTCTGAGCTGCTGCCTCACATCGCTAGGAGAGACGAAACGAAAAAAACAAAGTTCAAGCCTCGTCCTGGTCGGCTTGAATCACGCGGGGCCCGGCCCAATTCCACCCGACACGAGAAAGGCTGAGGTAAACCGCCCCGACGGGCCCCCGCGCGAGCCTCCAAAGGGCTGCTGGCACAGCGTTTCATGAGCCTTTTTGCCAGGCCCGTAACACATCAACATCGCTCACCCTACGATCCCAGACCCACGCGGCAGTGACGAAACGGTCGCGGCACCGTCGCATCGGCCACGGGACCGTAGCTGGGATCGCGATGGGCGGCAACGTAGGCTGTGCGATGCGCCCTGCCTCGGGCCCCCATAAGCTCGGCAGCCAGCGCGCGCAAAAATTTAAAATGGAGTCTTGGAGCCCCATGACCGCCGCCCCGTGGCCCCCGCTGGGCATTGAGCCCGCGCGCCAGAGCGCGGCCACCTTCGGCCCAGCAGACCTCTCAAGGACCCGCAGCTCTTTTCTCGGTGTCGCGCTGCGCGCGCCTGCCAAACAGCCACGGCCCAAATGTATCAAATTCTTATTGCTCCTGAAACCTAAGGGTGAGGCGTCAAACTTAATTCGCTTTTCAGCCGCAATGCTGCGGGCCAGGTAGCCTGACTTGTTAGGCTGCAGCAGGAAGCCGATCGATGCCACGCGACGGCGCAGTTCTCGCACCGCCTTGGATACCACCTCGGCCCCCGCGGCATCTGGCCCTCCCCATTGCAGCGAGACGTTGTCCATGGCGGCTCGAACCTTCACTGCAGGGTATCTCCTGACCGTCTCTCTCGCGGGCGCCAGGAGCACAGCAAGCATCATGGCACAAGCATGTGAACACCCCGCCAAGATTCCGTGGAAGGAGACGTAGCTCTCACTCAAACTCCCAAACGCGTCTGTTCGTCGGGGGGCGGCGCAGACTTGAATGAGCACCCGCCCCAGACGACGGGGGGAAACCTACCTGCCCGAAAATCTCGACCAAGACCGACAACTTAACCATGTCATAGCACTTGGCCATGGCCAGCAGCACGTGATCAATTGCAAATCCTTAGTTTTGGCTCCACCCGCCGACAGGTTCAAATCAAAGGCGGGTCCAGGTCCCACTTCCCCGGAACTCCTTCTTTCCATGATCGCGCTCCTGCGCTCTGATATTGGCCGTCGAAGCCTGCGCCGCACGCTGGCGAACGTACCCAGCAGCGCTATCAAGCGGTGCCCACCGTCTGGTTGGTAAACGAATTAGCTTACTGACCAAACGCCGATCGGGCCAGCGCAGACGCGCTTCACACTGATGCAACAATGCGGCAAAGGCACCGAGGGCCTCGTCGGACAGGTACAGAAGCCACAGAGGATGCATGACAGCACCCCGCTGCCGTGCGCTCTGGGAATTTAAAAGCGCGGCCCGAAGATCAGAAACATATGCCTCAATGGGGGGGGGATCCCAAAGATGCGCGTCTCCTAGGGCCCCTGGCTGGGAGCGCCCGCGGGTCGCCCGGGCTTCCCCGCAAAGCTATCTCGGACCCACTGTTGCCAATCATTGTTTTCCTCGGCAAGGTGGGCCACTTCGTGCTCGGCGGCGCGATCCCAAATATGCCGCGCTAAATCCTGGAAAGCAGGATCGGCCAGGGCCGACAAGCCGGCCTCGGCGAGTCCAGCTGGCAGCGCACCCACTCTATCTTGGCGATGCTGTCGTAGAAGCGCCCCACTTCCAGCAGCGCCTTGGCGACCCTGCGCGCGCGCCTGTCCTGGCCCCCGTCGTCGAGGTTCAGCCTGGGCACAGGCGCGGCGCTCAATCTCAATGATGTCGCGCCTGTCCAGCAGCTCGCACTCCACCCCCCTCAAGAAGACGCCCCGCTGCGAAGCGGTGCCAGCGCCGCGGGCACCTCCAACAACCAGGCTTCGCCATGGTCGGAATGCGCCTGGGCTGACGAGCCACCCAGCACCGCAGCTTAGCGCCCGCTCCCAACGAGCCCAGCCGCACTGGCTCGCGCGGCGCGGTGTCCAACATCATCTAACACAAATGCTGTGCTGGTGCGAGTAGCGCGGTTCGCGCTGATGATAAAATAGTCTACGGTCGTGCCGGGGGCCGATTGCCGGCGGGCAGCCGCTGCTGGCGCCGAAACACTACCATCGAAAACCTCGGCCCAGCTGCCCGAGGTCTCTGGCTCCATCTCAATGTCGCCGCCGATGACCCAATCCCAGCCGAGCTCACTCATCTGGGCGCAGTACTGGCCGACCTCTGCCAAGGGCGCCGTGTTGGCGGCGCCCATCTGGTCACCCGCGTGCAAGTACATGGGAACCGCTATGAAGCCGCCCCTGACCACGGAGTGCACACGCCCTGCCACAGCACGCGCTGACGCCAACTGCCCTCTCGCAACGAGGGGCGGCTCCGTGATCTGAATCCTCTCGGGGCTGAGAATGGCTACGCCTCCCGACGTTCCTCCGCCATCTGTGGCCAGCGCCCTCGACCACATGCCGCGGTGGCCCGCCGCGTATGCACGAACCTGGAAGTCGGGCAGCTTCTCATTCAACTGGTGTTCCTGCACGCGAAAAACCATGGCCTCCTCATCGAGCGAAACCGAGGACTCCTTCGCCCCCAGCAGCTCACCTAGGGGACCGTGACACGTAGCATTAGCTGGTACAACTCTGACCATGGCTAATAAGTGGAAGAGCATTATCACGATTCTAAAAAACAGGTAGGCCGGCCTATGCGGAGGCAAGCCTGGCCTTCTTCGCGATGCTCTTCAACTGATCACCTGCTCGTTTTGGCTGCCTCACGATGTTCTTCGTCTGTGTGTGGCGCTTCAGCGCTGACACTTTTAAGCAACCCCCGTAGCACATCAGGATCAGCATCGCTAGCTTTTGGAATCCACTCGGACCCAGAGCTAGGGTTGGCGCTGCCACCGCCTCCCTCGTCCGCGGCTCGCCCCGCGGCTGCGTGCTTGCCTGGCGTTCTCAGCCTCGCGCTGCTGCCTCCTCGGCGCCCCGCGCCTCCGCGAGCGCGCTGCGAAGGTTCTTCGCCATCGCCTCGGACGCGCCGAACCCCTGCAAGATCGAGCCAAGCTGCTTGACCGACAGCTCGGTGCTGGACCCGAGCACCTGGCCCAGCGACTGCGGCTTCCATTTCTGTGACTCTGGAGGCTGAGGGGCTTCCGCAACGAGCAATCGCCGCAGCTCTTCCAGCTCCAGCAGCTCCGCTCTGGTGCCGTTGAGCTCAGTGAAGGCCTCACGCACAGCCTTCTGCGCCTCCTGTACCTTGCCCTCCAGCTCCTGCAAGTGCTCCTGCTGCCGTTTAGCCTTGACCTCCAGCTCCGCGCGCTGAAAGGACATCCCCTTCAGCCGCATGTCGAGCGGCTTCGCTCAGTCCACCCACTGTTGGCGAAGCCTTGCCTGCTTCTCGCGAAGCTGGCGACAGGCTCCCTGTACCTCTTCAGGTTTGACATCCTTGATCGCGTCGATGTGCGCCGCCAGCTCAGACAACTGCTGCTTGATGTCGCACGGGGCGCTCGCATCGCCTCCGACGACATCCATGGCTGGCGGCGGCTCGGGCGGGGCGGAGCCTTTGCGATTTGAGCCCGCAATGCGACCAACCCCTGCTGACACTGACGAAATTGCTGCTCCACCCTCGACTTCCCAGGCGCATGCGCAAGACTCTGCGCCGGGGCTGAAGGCTTCCGAACACCTTCGGAAGCAGTGGACTTGTGCTGTTGGCATTTGCTGCATTGCGACAAACCAGCACGGATCTACCAATGCTAACCTTCTTTCCCAACAATTCTTGCACACACGCGGCGGAACCCAAGCCTTCCGAGCCCGCTGGTGCCCCGAGAGTAAGGACCTCCAGCCTCCAGCTCGTCCCTGCGGTGCCATATGGCGCGGCCTCTCGACCTCGCCGACGTCGTTAGAGGGTGGAAGAGATGCGGGCTAACCGCAGTACGGTATCGAAGATGTGGCGTCGCCAGGGGACGACAAAAGCGGTGGCGGCCGTCCTTCCCCCAGGCGACTCCTGTCCTTGAGCGAAGCACTACGGACTTGAGCCAAAATGGCTACGGAGGAGGAGGAAGAGGAGGAAGAGGAGGAGGAGGAGAAGGAGGAGGAGGAGGAAAAGGGGGGAGCATCCCTCCTCTGACCTCCATCCTCCATTCCCCTCGCTCCTCCATCCCTCCCCCTCCCTCCTCTGACTTCTCATTCTTCTCCGTTCCCTCCCCTTCGCCTCCTCCTCCTCCTCCTCCTGCTCCTCTCCTTTCCCCTCCACTCCTCTCCTCTCATCTCCTCTTCCCCTCCCCTCCTCTCCTCCCCTCTCCTCTCATCTCATATCCTTTTTCTGCTGCTGCTGCTGCTTCTCCTCCTCCTCCTCCTCCTCCTCCTCTTCTTCTTCTTCTTAATATTATTAATATTCTTCTTCTTATGGTGATGATGATGATGATGATGATGATGATGATTAGCATTATCATTATTATTATTAACACTATTATTATTATTATGATTAATATTATTATCATTAATATTATTATTATTAACATTATTAGTGTTGTCATTGTTTATTAATATTTTTTATTACTATTATTATTATTCGTATTAGTATTAGTATTCGTCTTCTTCTTCTTCTTCCTCCTCCTCCTCCTCCTCCTCCTTCTCTCCTCCTCCTCCTCATCTTCTTATTTTTCTTCCTCCTCCCCCTCCTCCTCCTCCTCCTCCGCCTCCTCCTCCTCCTCCTCAAGCTCCTCCTCCTCCTCCTCCTTTTCCTCCTCCTCCTCCTCCTCAAGCTCCTCTTCCTCCTCCTCCTCCTCCTCTCCTCACTCTCCCTTCCTCCTTTCTCCTCTCTCCTCTCTCCTCTCTCCTCTCTCCTCCTCCCTCCTCCTCCTCCTCCTCCTCCTCCTCCTCCTCCTCCTCCTCCTCCTCCTCCCTTGCTCCCTTGCTCCCTTGCTCCCTCCTCCCCCACTCCTCCCTCCTCCTCTCTCCTCTCCTTCGCGACCCCCCCTCGTCTTGCGCAGCGGGCCGGGGAGGAGGGAGGACGGGGAGGGGGCGAACAGCCGCCACCCAGGGGCACAGAGGAGGACGCGGGAGGGCGACGTTGAAGCAGTGGGAGGTGCAGGAGGCGGAGGAGGAGGACGACGACAAGCACCATCAAGGAGCAGCAGTGCGCGGGAGGAAGAAGAAGACTCGGCATTGCGCGTGGCCTGTGCCGTGCTCGGCTCGCGCTTGCGAATGTGCAAGCGGGCCCCAGGCAGGAGACCGTGATTTTCTTTTTCGCGATAGCGGCCGTTACAGGCACCGGCCGCCCCTCCCTCCCTGATAAAAGATCACGATTCGGAATGACCTCCGAGCTGTCTTTGGTCATTCCTAAGCATTCCTAGACGGCGCTGGCGCGAAACGTGACGTTACCAGCCCCCTTCTTCTTCCCCACACGCAAGAACCCCCAAGCAAAGAGGGAGAGAGAGAGAGAGAATAAACAAACAACACGCGACAGAACTGGAGAACCAGAAGGGAGCCTCGTCGAGAGGCCACGGAGAGCGCGAGGCAACTAGGGGCAAGAGGAGGAGGAGGAGGAGGAGGAGAAACCGAAACACCACAATGCCTGTACCGTATGGGTGATGGGGAGCAGGAGGTCCAGTGTTCCCCAAGGTGGGGGGAAAGGAGGAGGAGGAGGAGGAGGAGGAGGAGGACGAGGGAGGGGGAGGATGTGTCGGATGAATGCGGAGGAGCAATGGCAAGCCGGGAGCACCCAGAAACACGCGCAGAAGCACCCTACGGCTCGCGGCTGTCCGCCGCCCCGCGCCCCGAGGGCCTCGCGCGGCTCCCCGAACTCCCAGATGGACCCGTGCAAAGCTGAGAGGCTTTGGGCCGCATGCTGGCCTGCGGTGACCTGGGCGGACAGGCCTCACCGTGAGCCCCCGCACCTCGGGCAGACCGCGCGTGCTCCGGACTCCGGACTGGTGACCTGGCGCCGGAGGTGTAGGTGTTCCTGCCCCTCCTCGTCCTCCCCGAGGGCCTGCTCCATGGTGCTGACTAGTGATCTGTCCTAATGTCTGCCGTATGAATCCTTCTCCTCCTGCTTCCCCTGCTCCTCCTCCTCCCTCCTCCGTCTCTTCCTGCTGCTGCCCCTCCTTCAAATCACCCACTCACCCCAACTCCCTTCTCTCATATTCCTCGTCCTCCCTCCCTCCTCCTCCGCCTCCTCCTCCTCCGCCTCCTCCACCTCCTCCTCCTCCTCCTCCTCCTCCTCCTCCTCCTCCACCTCCACCTCCTCCTCCTCCTCCTCATCCTCCTCCGCCTCTTCCTCCTCCTCCTCCTCCGTCCCTCTCATCCCTCCCTCCCTCCCTCCTCCCTCCTCCTCCTCCTTCCCTGCCCCCTTCGGCCGCCGCCAAGGCTCCCAAGGCGCCCGCCCAGGGTGCGCAGGAGCCCCTCCGCCTCGGCCACGGCCGCGGTCGGGGGGGGGCTGGGCGCGCTCGCCAGGAAGTCCGCGGGCTCGAAGCCGGCGGCGCGGACCTCCGCTGGGTGGGCCATCGGTGCAGCGGCGGCGCGGCGCGGGCGACGGGCGACGCTGAGACGATGGACGACGCCGAGGACGACGGACGGCGAGGACGACGGACGCCGTCACGACGAACGACGGCCACGGCAGGACGGACGACGACGGGACGGCCCACGAGGGCAGACGACGGACGACGGGCGAGGACGGATAGCGACGTCGTCGTCGTCGTCGAGACGATGGGGGGAGGGGATGACTCATTCTCCTGCTCCTGCTCCTGCTCCTGCTCCTGCTCCTGCTCCTCCTCCTCCTCCTCCTCCTCCTCCTCCTCCTCCTCACTCATACAACAGCTCCCTCCACCTTCCTCCCCCGCCCCTGCACGTCGCCGCCTCCCCCTCATCTCTCTCCTCCTCACCTTCCCCATCCATCCTCTCTCCTCTCTCCTCCTCCTCCTCCTCCTCCTCCGCCTCCTCCTCCTCCTCCTCCTCCTCCAGCTCCTTCTCCTCCTCCTCCTTTCCTCCTCCTCCTCCTCATCCTCCTTTCTGTACCCTCTCTTTCAATCGATCTCTCTATCTCGCTCTCCCTCTCTCTCTCTCTCGTTCTCCCTGTCTCTCCCTCTCTGTCTCTTGATTGTTCTCTTTCTCTTTCTCTCTCCCTCTCTCTCTGTATTTTCCCCTCACTCTAAAACTGTATATATATACACGTACATGCATACACACACATATATATATACATATATATATATATGTATGCACATATTCAGGGCTGCATTTATAGGCAAGACTTGCAACCTCGCTTCGCTTCGCCTCAAAAAGAAGTCCGGCGGCCACGAACTGCTGGGGGGGCTGCCAGAGAACCCAGCGGAGAGGAGAGGCAATGACCAGGAGGGTGGCCAGGGTCACCCGAGGTTCATGGGCCGGATGGAGCCCATGGGCATGTTCACGCCATGGGGAAGGACATGGTTGAGACAGGGACCCTCGATGCAGCCTTGAGCCCTGACCCCAACAGAGGTGACGGCTATGACGTCGAGGGTGTGTCCGCAATGACCGCCAGCGGGGTGAACGTTATGGCAGGGCCTGAACAGTGACCACGAAGCCGATGGCCAAAAACAAAGACCGATGAGATGACCGCGAAGGGGGTGAAGGTCATGATCTGGGAGGGGTCCCAAAAATGACCTTCACGGAAGGGGCATGACCGGGAATGGGCTGTCGGCAATACGGGGAAGGGGTGGGTCACGGTGATGGCCACGGTGGTTGGGTAACCGTGAACGAGTATCCACCACGCTATTGAAGGGGTAATACAAGTGCAGCTACAAAGTGAGGAGGGCGAACATGATGACCGGGAGGGTAGTCAGAGTCACGCCTGCCAAGCTATCCAGAGGTTGCTGACAGAACGTTTGTGCAGGCAAACAAAGAGAGGCTAATCCACCATATGCGAACTTGCGCACGCCCTCGACGATCCGCCTTTGTCGAGTCGGTGGCCCCAAGACCTTTAACTTCTTTCCCAACGGTGCTGTTTCATCCGGATTTCGACATCCAGGGAACTGGCTTGTCATCCAGAGTCGTTGTCAGACGGCCCTGGGATCTGGAAGAGGCCCTCGGATACCGAGAGAGCTTGGAGGAGCCAGAATACCTGTGGACGATGTCGATGGCGATGGCGGAAGAAAGGGGCACCCGCTGAAGGGAAGTGCTTAGTGGTCGAGTCGTCCCGATGTGCCCTATCTTCCCTCCGCCTTTAGCCCGTCTGGCCGTCCCTCGTTTCCGTCGTCCCCGAACTGCCCCCATCGCCCCTCGAAGCTCAAAAATCAATGTAGTGGTGTCGAAGGAGGAGGAGGAGGAGGAGGAGGAGGACGACGACGAGGAACGGAAGACGACGAAGAGGACGCTCTCATGAGGACAGGCTCTCGGTCTGTTCCACGGGGGGGGCCCTGTAGTCCGGGGGGGGCCCTTGTAGTCCGGGGGGGGAGCCCTGTAGTCCGGGGGGGGGCCCTTGTAGTCCGGGGGGGGGCCCTGTAGTCCGGGGGGGCCCTTGTAGTCCGGGGGGGGGGGTCCTGTAGTCCGGCGGCAGGCACGCTCTGATCTTCGCGGGGCGACGCCCCGCTCGACGACCGCGGATATGCACCCCACGCAAAGGGCCAAGCCAAAGCGGTCGTCGTCGTCGTCGTCGTCGTCGTCGTCGTCGTCGTGCAGTACAGTACTTACTCGTCGTTCAGACCGTGGCAATTTTCTTTTTGTGGCAGCCCGAAACACTCGTGCTGGGCGTGGTCGCTGTAGTCCGGGGGGGGGTCCTTGTACTCCGGGGGGGGGCCCTGTAGTCCGGGGGGGGGTCCTTGTAGTCCGGGGGGGGGCCGTTGTAGTCCGGGGGGGGGTCCCTGTAGTCCGGGGGGGGGGGGCCCTTGTAGTCCAAAGGGGGGGGGCCCTTGTACTCCGGGGGGGCATTGTAGTCCGGGTGCCCAGAACTGTTGAGGGACTCAGAGTAGGGTTTTTGGCTTCGTTGCTCAAGAACTGGGCCTGAATGTCAGTTTGGAGGCTATGTTGTCGCCGTCGCAGTCCCGTCGCCGCCCGTCGTCTGGGCTTGATTTTCGGTCTGGAGACTATGTTGTCGCCGTCGCCGCCCCGTCGCCGCCTCGTGGCCGCCCGTCGTCTAGGCCTGATTGCCTGTCTGGCGGCTATGCTGTCGCCGTCGCCGCCGCGTCGCTCCCTAAACTCCACAACGTCGATTCTCCAGTCTATAGGGGTCTACCCCCCTCCGCCCCCACCGGGGGTGACGGTACGCACGCATTTCCGCAATGCGATTTTCACACGATTCCGCCCCATCGTCCATCCGAAATATAAAGTCGTACCATCACAGGCAGGCTGGAGTTCGCACCCTCCTCATCCTCGGCAAGAGACGTACATATATATATATATATATATATATATATATATATATATATGCGCACTCGTTTACGAACATCATCAGATGTCAAAAACCCCTTGTAACAAACTGGACGAAATGTACAAGCGCGCGCCGTCACGCACCCATGCCGGAATCCCTTGGGAACCACACGTTCGTAAGGATTTCAGAAACCGAGTGTCCGGATTCTCTCTCTCTCTCTCTATATATATGTGTATATATATGTATAACATATGGCTTCGCAATAATAGTTCTCAACAAAGAACCTTGCGCCCGGGCTCTTGCGCATTCCGTGGAAAAAACAATGGATTTTACACATTATCAGAACTTGCACCTCTGCCGGAATCGCTCGCACGCCCCTGCACGGGCGTTGTCACAATGATCAATTCGCAATTAACAGGACGAAATGCACGCGCGCGCGCCGCCGCGAGCCCACGCCGAAGTCATTCAAAAACCCGGTGATTTGTGAGGATCTCAAAACTGGCTGTCCCGAATACGGGTGAAAACACATAGTTTTGCAACATCAGTTTTCACAAGCAGATTGCGCTCGCGGTCTTACGAATTTATGGGAAACCATCGGTTTTCCGACACGTGCATTAATTGGGCAAGGGGGGCCCATCACACCGCACGTCGACATGATTCGAACGGCCTTGTTCGCGTGCTGGGGGATGGGAGCGCGATCGGTAACCCATAATACCATGCAGTCCACTCGCGCGCGGTGGCCGCGCGCGCATGTCGAACCATTCCAAAACCTCCATCCCCGACGCGAGGACGCGGTCACCGTCGCTGGCGTGATGGGCATCGGCGCAGTCGCTGGCCTTGCCGTCGCCACCAACATCGCTACCATCATCATCGCGTCTACCGTCGTCGACGTTGTCATGATGCCGCGCCCGCTCGAGTTGCCGACTCGCACTGAAGTGCCCGCTGGGATGTTCTCAGCGGTCAACGCCACCGCGGCCGCGTCGGTCGCGCCAAACTAGTTGGCCGCTGCGTGCGCGGGCTAGCGCGAGCGCAGAGATGCACCAGCCAATCCCGAGCGTTCATCGCAATCGTCGACGCATGGGTTTTGCAAACGACGCTGCGGGTGGGCGGGTGGGATGACTTCGCGAGCAGTGGAGTGGGCAACCCACTGCGAACATATGTGCTCTTGCTCCACAGATATTGCACCACGTACGTTCGCCTTTCTACAAGAATATTCGGACCCCCCTGATCTTGCAATCCATCGTCCATCCTAACAACCAACCCATGGCATCCCAAGCATGCCGGTCCCCCCATCCATCCTTTGCCTCGAATTCTGTGCGCTAGCACTCGTTGATCAAATATCAAGTGTTCAAAAGAAAAACATTGCGCCACAAAACGATGGCAGGCACACGCGCGACATGTCGCGCGCGCGTGCATGCGAACATCCTTTTCGAACCGCTGGTTTCGTAAAGGCTTCCGGATCGAATGTCCCGGAAAAGTGGAAACAAAAGCACGCATTCACGCAACAAGAACTTTCAGAACAGCAGCAACAAACAAAAACAATAACATCACTTACACCACGAACAGCACAAATGTTTACTCTCGGGCTCTTGCGGGTTCAGGGGTAACCACCGACCTTACAACATGTCCATAATGTGTTACCAAACGGGCCTTCGCGCGCGCATCTTGGAATCGATATAACGCCCCTGCGCGCGTGCTGTTGCAAGAATTCGTCGCGAAAGAAAAACACCCGACTCTGCAAAATCATGCTTCAAAAAAACCGGCGCTCGCGATCCTGAGAATTCTCAAGACAACATTACATTCGGCCAGAAGGGTCCCTGGCGCCGCACGTCGAAATCATTCGGACGCCCTTGCGCGCATGCTGGGGGGTGGTCGCGATCTGTGTCAAATAAGACCATGCGGGCCACTCGCGCGCGCCAGCCTCGCGCGCCTGTCGACCTCCCTCCAAAACTTTCATCGCCGACGCGGGGACGCCGTCATCGTCGCCGGCGTGATGAACATTCTCGCCGTCACTGGCTCTGCCGTTGTCATTGTTACCATCGCCACCATCATCGCTACCATCATCATCGCATCGACCGTCGTCGACGTTGTCATGATACGGCACCCGCCCAAGTCACCGATTCGCACTGAAGTGCCCACTGGAAACTGCCTAGCGGTCAGCGCCACCGCGGCCGCGTCCGTCGCGCCAAACTAGTTGGCCGTTGCACGCGCAAGCATGCGCGGGCTATCGCAGCCGCAAAGATGCACCAGCCAACCCCAAGCGACCCCCAGCAAACTACGCTGCGGGTGGGTTGGTGGGGTGATTGCGCGAGCAGTGGAGTGGACAACTCACTGCGGACAGAAACTCGTTGCCATGGCTTGCACCACGCATACTACACAACATGGCGTTAGAAGGCTCCATGGAATTTCGTTGGGTTCCCGCGGGACCGTCTTGGGACCCCTTTGAGTGTCTTGGGGTCCGTCTCGACGATGATTGCGCAACACAACGAAGTCGGAAAAAGAGGAGGAGGACGACGACCACGACGAGCAACAGTACGAGGACAGACTGTCTTGTTGGAGGCGGCTCGGAAGATAGTTGATGGCCTGTTGGACGGCCCTTGGAGATTCTGGGGGTTCCTCGATGGCTTCTGCGAGGGGCCCCTCGATGGGGGCTCCCTGGACCCCGTGCGTCGTCGGGCCTTCTTGGACAAACTCGGGGCCGTCTCGGAGGCTTCTTTAGCCGCCTGAAGCGATCTAGAAAACCCCTGGGTTCGTCGTGGGCCACAGGAAGCTATACATCGGGAGACTACCCAAATCCATCCAAAGGTGGAAAAGATGTGGTGTAATGGATGTGGTCGAGCATTGTGGTGCAAGCTATGCGGTGCAATATGTCTGGTGTAAGCTAGGTGGTGCGAGATATGTGGAGCGAACTACGTCATGCAAGCGTTGTCGCACAATCTATGTAATGCAGTCTACGTGGTGCAATATTAATGGTGCGCGCTACGTGTTGCAACCCAGTGGTACAACATATGTGGTTGGTGCGGCCTGTGTGAGGTAGCACGTGTGGGACAATCTCTGTGGTGCAATGTAGTGCAAAGTGTGTGGTGCAATATATGTGGTGCAAGTTATGTGTTGCAGTCGGTATGGTGCAATCTACATTGAACAAGCTAGGTGGTTCAATCTATGTGGTGCAAGCTACTTGGTGATATATATATATACACATACTCCTATTCTTATATGTTTATTACCCGGACCCCCCCCCCCACACCACCCACCACCCTAAACCGGACCCCCTCCCCAAGAACGCCATAAACGCCCTTTCGGGCGTCTGAGCGGCTCCCTGGACGTCGTTTGAAAAAGGTTCGCTGGCCCCTCAACGCCTGCCAGGGCGCCTTGCGGGGCCTTGCGAGCAGACTCAAGGCGATCAGAAGGGCCATCGGGGAGGCGGAAGAGAGACCCAAGACAGCACAAGAACGCTCCGAAAGGAATTTCGATGGTCTGAAGGCGGCCCACACGGCCCCCAAGACGCCCAAAGCGGCGGTTAAGAAAACCCCGAAGAAGCAAACATCGTCCCATCCCATCGGGAACATGTATAAGTTTAACATATCCGCTGCTTAGGACTTCGCAGCGTCCAGGACTGCCCGATGGGCCCTGATGCCGCCGCAAGACGGTCCAAGCGGCCCCCCAGAAGGTTTGAAGACGGCCGAAGAGGGCCCCAATACTGCCCCAAAGAGCCCCGAGACTGCCCGCAAGAAACCCAAGATGCTGCCCCCACGAAAGCCATGGGAGACCCCCAAGAAGGCCATTGGAGGCCCCCCAAAAAGGGGCCGAGATGGTTCCAGAAATTTCTGGAGGGCCCCATCTCCCCAAGACGGCCCAAGAAGGCCCAGGGACGGCCCAAGAGGGCCCCTGGACAGCCCAAAAGAGACGCAAAAACGCCCAGACGGCGTTTTCCTACGAAGTACATCGAGCTGACCCGACGATCCTGGTTCCACGCTTGAGGCTCGAGGTTCAAGTTCCTCGATCGAGAGAGACAGGCAATGGATCTAGAGTCGAAGTTCGAGGATCGAAGATTTCCAGCGTGCCTGGAACCCTCCAGGCATTCAGGAAGCTACCAAACATCGATTTGTTCGGAGCTACTGCGACGTCTTCGGCGTGTCATGGGAACGCCCCTTATTTCCACAAAGGACCTTCGCGCGTGAAAATTCATTATTCCTCCCGCACTCCTGCGCACAAGCGTGCAAGCGCACCGGGCGAACGCGGTGTCAGCAGGCACCATATCAGAACAATGAGCCGGTCGCCCGTGCAGACTTCGAAGTTCCCCCCGCTGAAGCAAGCGATGATTAACTGATTTACCAGCGAAGGCCCGGAACAAAGCGCATGGCGCGAAGCGCAAATGCAGTCTTGTATACGTGTATATATATATATACATATATAACATTTGTATGTGTGCATATAAGCACACATATCTATATGTATATCTGGTGCATTCTATGTGGTGCCAGAAACGTGGTGAAATATACGTGGTGCAGTCGGTGTTAAGCCATGCAGCGCGCAGCAATGCAATGCATTGCGATTGCAAGGCAATGTCATTCGATTACAACGCAATGCGATTGCAATGCAATGGGGGGGGAACGGGGCGGCGGCGACGAGCAGTGATGGGCAGCGACGGCGCGGCAAGACGGACAACCACGCACAGACGACGGGCGGCGACAAGGCGGTGAATCTCAGGTGTTTGCCCCTGGCGGCCCTCTCGAAGGTCTCCTGGGGTTTTCGTGGGAGCCCGTTAAATTGTGCTGTTGCCATCTTGGGAGCCGTCCCTCGGGCTCGACTCTCCATCTTCGAAGTCGTTGCGAGGCCTCCGGGACCCCCGCGGCGTCCAGAGGAGCGCGGGCGGCCAGCCGGAGAGGCCCCGGGGGGCCGTCGGCAGGGTGCCCCGGGGCGGGCGGAGGCAGTCCGCAAGGGATCCTGAGACTTTCTGGGGGTGGTGTGTCGGCGATCTTGTCTGCACCACACATCGCTCACCCCCCAAGTCTTCGCCTCCGGTCCCTGTCCACGGCGTACCTTTTCCTGTGCAAGCTCTTCGGCACCGCCTGCACCCCAGGCCCCGCCGACTCTGGCCGCCCGAGGCCCCGCCCGCATGTGCCCTGCCTCCCTAATTAAAGTTGTGCGTAGCCCGCCTAGCGTTTAGCGGAAGAGGTTCGCTCTCGCCCCGCCGACCAAAAAGTGGGCGATCTTGTCTTTGGCATGCAGAACGTATGCGCTCATAGGGATACCCCGTCTGCTCTCGGGGGCGTCCAGGAGGGGAGCGTCCACAAGGGGGGGGGGCGCAACTCATGACCAATGGCACATGCGCGGTCCAGGGAGGGCCAAGACGCGTTCAAATAAGAAGACGCCTGGGAAATCTAAGGGGGGAGCTTTATCGTGGCCCCCGCTATGGTATCCCCCCCCGGTCATCACCCCACACTTTGCCGCCCCAGATCCTCCCGTCTGCCCACCTCCTCTGATCTCCCCCCACGGGGGAACAGGCGGAGAGGGGAGCAGCAGCAGCAGCAGCAGCAGCAGGATGGAGGATGGACGGCGGAAGGGGCGCTCGAGGGGAGAGAGCCCGACCGGTGGAGCTCCAGGGGCGCCCGAGGGGTGACAGGGCGCTCGAGGGGGGGCAGGGGGCGCTCGAAGGAGGGAGGATGGAGGAGGGGAGGGGCGCTCGAGGCAGGAGGCGGGAGGCGATCGAGGCTCGAGGGGGGGGAAGGCCCCTCGGGGCGCAGACGCCCCCCACGAGGCGCCTGCAGCGCCAGCGTCTCGAGCGGCAGCACCTCATCCGCGCGGCGGCGAGGCGGCGGCGGCGGTCGATCCGCCCTCCCTCGCGGGCCGACACCTTCTGCGGCGGCGGGCCGACTTGGTTCATGGAGGGTGGGGGGGGGCAGCGAGGGCTGCCGAAAAAGGAGCCCTCGAGGGTCCTTCAAAGAGGGGCACCCTTCGGGCTCAGAAAATTGGGCTCGTGAGGGCCCGCAACAAAGGCACCGACTCTCTTCCCCCCCCCTCCCCCCCCCGCTCATCGATTCGCTCCAGCCCCCCAGCACATCGCGCCCCAAACCCTCGTCGGCGGCGAGCCTCGGAGGGGAAGGCAGAAGGGGCGGGCCTTCTCCCCAGGCATGCGACGTCGTGTTTTTTTCAATGCGGGGTCCCCGGAAATTCCGACCCGTTCCCCAGGACCAGTTTCTCATCCTGAGTCCTGTTTTGACGGTCCCGAGGCCCGGCGAAGGCCCCCCGAGGCCAAAATGGGCCAAACACCTCCCGTCCTCATGTTTTTGCGACGCGGCCATGTCCAAGGTGGGATGATAGGGAGGAGGAGGAAGAGGAGGACGAGGAGGAGGAGGAGGAGGAGGAGGAGGAGGCAGGGAGGAGGAGGAGGAGGAGAGGAGAGGAGGAGGAGGAGGAGGAGGCAGGGAGGAGGAGGCGGAGGAGGAGGAGGAGGAGGAGGAGGAGGAGGAGGAGGGAGGAGGAGGAGGAGGAGGAGGAGGAGAAGGAGGAGGAGGAGGAGGAGGAGGAGGCAGGAGGAGGAGGAGGAGGAGGAAGAGGATGGAGGAGGAGGAGGAGGAGGAGGCAGGGAGGAGAAGGAGGAGGAGGAAGCAGGGAGGAGGAGGAGGAGGAGGAGGAGGCAGGGAGGAGGAGGGGGAGGCAGGGAGGAGGAGGGGGAGGCAGGGAGGAGGAGGAGGAGGAGGAGGAGGAGGAGGAGGCAGGGAGGAGGAGGAGGAGAAAGGGAAGAGGGACCTCCGGAGGGAAAACGGGCCTCCTTCTGCTGCCCGTTCCGCTCCTGCTCCACCCGCTCTTCCCCCCATTCCTAGAAGTGTTGCCCCCGGCCCTCCTCAAGGATCGACGAGAGATTTCGAACGTGTGCGGACGGTTATTGTGATGTCGGGCATGTCCCACTACAGGCAGATTTTGGGGAAAGAAATAAAACATTGACACAAATAGTAAAACATACTCCAACATACTTTAAGACACATCCCCAGACTCCTTTTTATACTATTTTCAAATATTCCCCCTGTAGAAGGACAGGCCCGACTTACGGTTATTGGACGTTTTCGGTCCTTTTCCGGCATTGCACCCGAATGGTTTCATGGGCCCTGGGGATCGGGCACCACTATATCAGTTGTAACCAACCGCTTTGCTTTTTCATCCTTGCACGCGTTGTTGTTTATCCACTGTGCTGCGCCATTGGTCCTGCAAGCGGTCACAGTGGCGGAAACGCCGAATACATACTCACGGACCCGTGGATCTGGCGCGTGGGCCGCAGAGCCGCGCATCCAGGACGGTGCCCGCCCCAAGCAGGCTGCCTCATAGTCGGCGATGGAGCGGGCCCGTCTCGCCTGGAAGCGGGAGCCGTCGCTGATCGTGCGCCTGTTTGCGGGAACAGGGGTAATCACAGTCTGACCAGATTTTTTCTGGGGCGAGTCCCGCAGTGGCGATGCTGGCCTTCCAGGAGGCCCCAGAAGGACGAGCACGCCGGAAGGGTGGCAGTATCTGTATCTGTTCCTCCTCGGGCCTTGCGGCTGGGATCTTCTCCGCAGCGCGTCGCGGCGGCGGGCCCGGCGACACGACACAATCTGCAAGCGGGCAGCGTGTCGCTGCGCTCCGTGCGGCGGGAGGATCGGAACGCGTACGGCTTGGGACGTTGACGCTTGGGGACTGGGACGTGGATAGCGCCTCGCGCCGAAGCGTGGTGGGCCAGAGCTGGCGTCAGGTCGGGCCTGTCCTCCTATAGCAGAGGGAATTGGGACGAAAGCTAAACATAGTCAAAGATACACAGAAAAATCCGCCGACCCTGTCGACGTGTGCGAGGGGCTTGGCTGTTCGAGTCGTCGTCTCCGTCGGTCGTCGCCTCCGTCGTCTTCTTTCCCTGCAGCTTCCTTCTCAAGCTCGTGAGCGAGAGAAAAAATTAGCAGTGTCGTACTCGAGTCGAAGGGAAGCCCCTTCCCTTTGATCCCTTCCCCAGAGGGGGGGGGGGTCCCGGGGGGGGTCCCGGGGCGGGTCCAGGGGGGGGTCCCGGGGGGGATGGGGGGGCAGATTCGTTTTTCCTCCGGCGGCCTAGAAACCTCAAAAACACTCCAAATGAGGTCCGAATGCCCAAGATGGCCCCCGAGACGGCCCAAGAGGGCCACGAGTCGCCCAAAGATCGGCCGAAAACGCCCTAGATAGCCCCAAGACCGTCCAAGAAGCCTCCAACACGTCCCAGGCCCCCTCCAAGAGACCCCCAGGAAGCCCCAAGAGGCCCCTACGAGGCTTCCAAGCGGCCCCTAAGAGCTTCCCAAGAGGCCCACAAACTACCCCCAAGGGGCCCCCAAGAGCGCTCGTCGTCGTCGTCGTCGCCATTCAGGGTCGGCGGCACCGGCCGTAAGGCCTTCGCAATATAAAAAATGCTACAACAATCGTCCACTGATTATTTTTTGGGCTATCGGTAAATGATCCTCCTGTAGGGGACAGGCCAGACTTAAGGTGATTGGATGTTTTCGGTCTTTTTTTTTTTGTTTTGTTTGATTCAAGCTTCGCGCGGCCCGCTTAGCTTCGACCAGAAGAAGTGCGCTCTCGACCCGCGAATCAAAAAATGTCTTCGGTCCTTCTCGGTCCTCTGGGGACCTCCGGGGCTCCGAATCGTGGTGGGCCAGAGCTGGTGCCGCGACACGCTGAGCCACACGTCGCCTCCGCAGCTCCGGCCGCCTCGGCCGTCGTCGTCGTCGCCGTCGTCGTCGTCGCCGCCGTCGCCGTCGTCGTCGTCGTCGTCGTCGTCCTCGTCGTCGTCGTCGTCGTGGTCGTGGTCGTCGTCCTCGTCCTGGTCGTCGTCCTCGTCGTCGTCGTCGTCGTTCTCGTCGTCGTCGTTCTCGTCGTCGTCGTCGTCGTGGTCGTCGTGGTCGTCGCCGTGATCATCGTCGTCGTCCTCGTCGTCATCGTCGTCGGCCTCGTCGTCGTCGTCGTGGTCGTGGTCGTCGTCGGCGTGCTGGCGCCTCCGCGAGAGACGGCCCGCGCCGAGCTCGCGCGGGGGGCGCGTGCCTCGATCTCGGGCGCCGTGTTGGCGGGCAGCTGGTCGAACAGCCGCTTCGGTATGAGCCGGAAGCACACCCCTCGCGGCGGCGCACGTCGCGCGTCCAGGCCACGAGGGCGGCCAAGAAAGCCCCTGGAAGCCCCACTTACTTAACATCTAGAGCTCCCAGGACGTCAACATTGGCTCAGGAGGGGCCGAGGAGGTGGGGATGTAATCGTCGCCTCGATGAAGCCGCGTAGCCTCGCTATGTATGGATCTTGACTGTCTGCTTTCTCGATCCTGAGATCTGGGAGTTGCAGTCTTTGCAAGACGGGCGTTGTCGCCAGGCTTCGGGCCCCAGGACCATCACAGATCGATCCCGCTCGAGAAATGTGGCAGAAAGATGGGGCTAGGGCTCTGATTGTAATTTTTCTCGATAGTGCATTTTGTCGAGACGTCGGGTCTCAGAAGACGACTATCGAACGCGAGGCGAAATACCCAGGGAACACCGTGCCCCTTGGAGCCTGGCGCCAGCGGCATGCAGTCGTCACCCGTCGAAGACGCGAGGCGGGATACCCATGGAGCGCCAGGGTCCTCGAGGCCTGGCGGCCGCGGCATGCAGGGTGTGCGAGGCGGGTCGGGAATACCCTCCCCCGAAGTCTAACAACCCAAACCTCTCTTGGGGGGAAAGATGCCGCTGCAGCTGCCGCTTACGCTGCTGCCCTTCATCCTTGTCATGCTCTTCCCCTCGTGTTGATCCTCCTGCTCCTCCTCCTCTTCCTCCTCGTCCTCCTCAGTCTCCTTCTCCCCCCCTATCCCGACCCCCACCGTCTCCCCTCCCGTCCACCCCTCCCGCTTCCACTTCCGCTCCCACTGCCCACACCTCTATATCCTGCTACTCCTGATGATGCTACTCCTGATGACTATGTCCTCCTCGTCCTGACCCTGCCTTCAACCTTCCAGTCTCCAGTCTCCCCTCCTCCTCCTACCCCTCGCGGTCGTTCCCTTCCTCCTCCTCTGTTACCGCCTCCTCTGTAACCGCTGTCCTTGGCACGAGCTCACACAACACACTCAACAAACAACGGGTGGATAAACATGGATTCGATTGGGTCATTGCAAAAACTACGCCCGGATGGGCCGGACGGATGGCCTAGCTGGGCCGACGATGGGCCAAGGGGAGCAAGTCCTAGCATTCTTCGGGCCAGAAACAAAAACACCTTCTGCACGCTGCCGATTCCCTCTTCATTCCGTGCTTTTGTTAATACAGGATCCCTGGAAGTCCCGACCCTTTCCCCGGGACCAGTTTTTCGTCCTGAATAATCTGCAGACGATCCCGAGGCCCGACGAAGGTTCCCCGAGGCCGAAGATGGCCAAACACCTCCCGCCCTGATTAGTTCTACGACGCGATAATGTCTGGGCTAATGGCCACCATGGCCGCATATTCCGTAACTCCTTTCTGTTGGGTGGCCTCAAAGATTTGAAGCAATTGTATTGCAAATGCATTGCGCCGGAGACTTGTGTTGCATTGTATTGCAAGTAATGTACTTCGCGCGAAAATCCAGCAATGAATTTGCGCCCAGAATGTGTTGACCGCCTAAAAAAATTGTGCAACCCAACAAATCCACTGCTCCAAACTTGTTGCACCACCCCCTTGTCGCTGGACCCCCTTTTGGGTCAACCCGACCTCTTCTTGAATCGGGGGAGCGCAAACATGGATTAGCGATCCATGGATTTGGCGCGCGGTCGCCAAATCCATGGATCTGGGGAGATGCCCTCCCCAAAATGATGGAAACGGGACCCGTCGCTAATCCTAGGTCGGGCCTGTCACCCTACAGGGGGGTTTTGGACGAATACTTAAAAATACCCATAAATTATCCAAGTGCGACCCTACCTAGGAGTTGGAGCATTTAGGAAAGCAACATCTACATCTACACCGACAGCTACATCGGTGCTCATAGCTATGCTATGCCATGGTATGCTATGCTATGCTATGCTGAGCTATGCTATGCTATGATATGATTGGCTATGCTATGCTATGCTGTGCTATGCTGTGTTAATGCTGTGCTAATGCTGCGCTGCGCTATGCTCGGCCGCGCTAAGCTAAGCTAAGCTAAGCTATGCTAAGCTAAGCTAAGCTAAGCTAAGCTAGGCTAGGCGGAGCTAAGCTGAGCTCAGCTAAGCCAAGCTAAGCTACGCTACGCTAAGCTAAGCTAAGATGAAATAAGCTAAGCTCAGCTAAGCTAAGCTAAGCTAGGCTAAGCTAAGCTAAGCCAAGCTAAGCTGAGCTAAACTGAGCTAGGCTACGCTAGACAAGGCTAAGCTAAGCTAAGCTAAGCTAAGATGAGATTAGCTAAGCTAAGCTAAGCTAAGCTAAGCTGGGTGAACCCAGGGGGCGCAACTGGGGGAACCGCGGGGCGGGGACTGGGGGAACCGCCCGGGGCGCTTTCCACTGCCCGGCCCCTTTAAGCTAGAGGGTGAGAACCCTTCTAGGCAGAGCCTAGGTAGGGAAATATTCAAAGATGACCAAAAATACTCAAAAAATTGTCCCCAGACTATTTTTGAATATTCCCCCTGTAGAGGGACAGGCCCGACATAACGCTAATCCACGCCCCCTTGATCCATGTTTGGCGTCAGACAGCCCAGCACACGCTGCTCGGGGTGTGCTCCGCGCCTGCGCGAGCGCCCCTCCGCCCAGCTGGAGCAGCAGTTGGCCGGGAGGAGAGGGCCAAGCTTTTTGGATGTCCTCCTCGACCACCTAGTTGTAAGTCATCAGCCTGACACAAGAATCAAGCCGGGCGTGTCCCTCTACAGGGAAATATTCAAAAAAATAGGCAACAATAACATTACGGCGACGAGGTTTAACATGTTAAACTATGTTTGACGATTTGTCCCCCCCAAATTCCGACTGTAGGAGGACACGCCCGACCTAACACTAGAAGAAGGAAGGTCTGCATAAGCTCAAACTTCTCGGAGGTCTGCGCAGCCTTCTTGGATCGTCGCTGGGGTCCCCATGGCGGCGCGTTCGGCGACGCCATGGGCACGTCCCTGGCGCGCTGCGCGCGCCAGGGAGGGCCGCCCATCGCCGGCCCAAGAAATCCGGGAGGACCTGTATCAGTTTATGCTCAGTTTGTTTGTTTCCCTCCTCTTCTCTCTCTTTGAAGGAGAATGGCGGTCGCCGCCCTCACGCCCCGAGCGTGACGCCCGTCGCAGGCACCAGCCCCTTCATCGCCTGGGTGAACAGCCCGTCTGCCTTGATCACGTCCATGACCTTGCTCGTCAGGTCGTCCCGGTGCGTCGACACCAGCGTGTTGTTGGAGTTGACGTCCCTGATGGCGGGCGTGGCGTGGAATTTTTTCAGGCCCTTCTGGATGTAACCGTCGTCATCGAGGCACTTCTCGGTGTTCGCGACGATGCCCTCGGCTTCGGACAGGATGCTCTGCGCGTGGGCTAGGGCGTGCGCTATGTTCCTGAGCGTGATCGCGTTCTCTGGAACAACAAACAAACACATACTCAAAAACTTTCGGAGGTCCGCGCGGACTTCTTCGATCGGCGCTAGGCCCCATTGTCCCTGGCGCGCGAAGCGCACCAAGGAGAGGCGGCGCCCTGGTGTGCTCAGCGCCGACATAAAAATCCGCCCGGACCCTCGACAGTCCATGATTATTCAGGTACGCGCAAACATGGATTGGGGATCCGTGGATATGGTGGGTGGGCGCCAGATGCACGGATTGGATAAGTGCCCGCCCAAAGATGAAGCCAGTGCAATTTCATCTGGCGACGAAACTCGCCGATTTTGCACGGAAGCGGGAAACGTCTCTGATCCACGCGCCTGATTGGGAAACCAGAGAGGTACCAATACCCTCACTCCCAGGACCTCTCCTGGGGAGCGTTCTGACCAGAACTTCGGAACGAACCAGTCCTGGCGACGAGGGCCTCCCCGTGAGTCCCACCATGGGCGAGCACGACGAGAGGGCGCCAGTGTCGGTACCTGACTCTCCACTGGCCTTAATTCATGGTTGCGCTTCCTCGAACCAGGCAGTTCTTTTGCTGTTCGGGTCTCGACGGCGGTGGCCGAGGAGCTGGTGGCGGCCGGCGGCGACGGCGCCCCCACGCGGACCTCTGCCGCTCCCCCGGCGCCGACCTCGACGGATGCCACCACCTGGGAGGCGCTGGCGACGGCGAGGGAGGCGGACAGGCAGGCTGCTGCGGCGAGCGCGGCGCGAGCGGCCATCGTGTCGCCTTTTTGTCTGGGTGGTTTCTTGTATAAGGCACGCGCGGTGCGTAAGCTGGGTCGAAATAGCCGACTACGGACCTCCTCGTGCGGCGTGCGCTCATCGTGCAGCTAGCACAGGGGACGCTGGATGAGGGACGAAGCACGTTTGTGGCCACGGCGCGCTTCGGCCACGAATGAGCTCCCGGACCTGCATATATCATATGAGGAGCGGCCCGGAAGCCAGAGCCCCTCCTGAGCCAAACGTGGTTCTGGGATCAATGTCTTGACTGCAGTCCTCCCTCTCTTCCCCCTCCATCCTCCATCCCCGCCCTCAGGGCCCGCTATAGACGGGGACATGCTGGTAAACCAGCAGGGCTTTGAGGCGCCCGGGAAAGAAACAGCCGCGAGCCGAAGCGGTCTCCGTTCTTCCCCCTCGCCGCTTGGATCTGGCAACGTCCGGGCACGTTCTCCATCCTTCGTCCTCTGCGGACGGATCTGGCGAGAGCACCGACTTTGCCGGGTCTCGGCTGCCCGCACATGCAACCCCGGGCAAGAGCGGCACTTGGCGTGCGGGCCTCCAGGGGGCCTGGCGGGGGTGGGGCCTCACAGTCGGAACCTCTCGCTCAGCGTGCCGCGGCCGCGGTCCTGGCGACACGCTGTGCCCTGCCAGCGGACGGCGTCAGCCGCTCCGCTCCGCTCCGCGGGGCGGGCAGCGGAGGAGAGCTCGGGACACTGGCGCTCGGAGCTGGGGACGTGGGCAGCGCGCCGAAGCGTGGGCCACGTCCCCAGCTCCAGCGTCGCCGCCGCCGTCGCCACCGTCCTCGCCGCCGTCGCCTTCGTGGTCGCCGTCGCCGACTTCGTCGCCGTCGTCGCCGTCGTCGCCGTCGTCGCCGCCGTCGTTCCCGAGCGCAGAGGGGCCCCCAGGGCGGGGGAGGAGGAGGAGGAGGAGGAGGAGGAGGAGGAGGAGGAGGAGGAGGAGGAGGAGGAGGAGGAGGAGCTATGACGCGCGCCCGAGCGCGCGGCCGCGCGGGCGGGACACGGGCAGGCGGGCGGACCCCAGCGGGCGCGCGGGCGGTCGGGCCTCTGGCGGCGCCAGACCCGCTGGCGGAGCGGCCCTCGGCGGAACGGCCCGCCCCCTCCCCGGCCGGGGGCAGGCGGGCGGGGGGAGGGCGGGCCGAGGTCCCGAGGGCGTGCGGGCTTGTCGAGGGTGCGCTCGAGCAGGTCCGAGACCTCGGCCGCCTCACCCTCGAGCGGAGCGACCCCGACGGCGCAGATGAGGGTGAATCGGGGTCCGAGCTCGATTTCGGTCAATTTGTTGGGCGTGGCCCAGCGTTTCGCGCAAAACCGTACCATACCATACCATACCATGCTTCCCCCTCTTTGTCCACCATCTTCCCCGTCCTCCCCAGCTCCTCCTCCGCCCCCCCTCTCTTCGTCCTCGTGCGAACTACGCAGCGAGTGGCATCTTCCTCAGCTGTCTAATTTGAACTTCGTTCGAACGATCATCTTCAAGGAAACATCTGTCAAT